GGTGGCAGCCCAAGCCATTACCACCTGAGCTCCCATTCCTGTCAGATCAGCTGCAGCATTAGATTCTCATAGAAGCGCAAACCCTATTGTGAACTGCACATACAAGGGATCTAGGCTGTGTGCTCCTTATGGGAATCTAATGACTGATTTGAGGTCAATAGTTTCATTCGGAAACCATCTCCCACCGCCATGGAAAAATTGTCTTCCACAAAAGTGGTCCCTGGTGCCAAAAATGTTGGGAGCTGTTGTGTTAGAATTTGTCCACTAATTCTAGCTGCAAGGATGGGAAAACCCCAAAATGGCAAACAGGAGGCTGCAGGCGAAATCCAGCTGGGAGATAAGTTTTATTTGGCTTTCACAGTGTTTATCAACACAGCATTTAGGATTTTAAAAAATTGGTTGCTAAAATTTAAAACCTGAGAGTATTGATACAAAAATTCTAATCCCTGGCTGGGTGTGCTAGCTCATGCCTGTAATCCAAGCATTTTGGGAGATCGAGGTGGGTGGATCACAAGGTCAGGAATTCAAGACCAGCCTGGCCAAGATGGTGAAACCTCGTCTCTACTAAAACTACAAAAATTAGCTGGGCGTGGTGGCTTGCACCTGTAATCCCAGCTACTCAGGAGGCTGAGGCAGGAAAATCATCTGAACCCAGGCAGCAGAGGTTGCAGTGAGCTGAGATCACGCCACTGTACTCCAGCCTGGGTGACAGAGATGCTGTCTCAAAAAAAAAAAAAATCCTAATTCCTGGTTTCTCTTGAAACATTGAATGATCTGGTAATACCAGACCCATCCTCTCAGCAGGAATAATGAAATGGCTGCTTCCTTTAGGCAGTATTTGAACTCTGTACAGTACTTCTGGTCTTTATTGTTTTATTTCTGGCTGGCTTCTTTTTTTCTTGTACTTGCATTTTGAATTTCTGGTCCCTAACATAAAATAATAATCAGGTAAATTGTGTCCGAGGGCCCTGTCCCTGGGTTGTCAATTTACATAAAGTGTTAAATGTTTTGTTTTCTTTTGGTTTCTCTCTTGCCTCATCTACAATGTGGAAACAATTCTTCTAGGCTAGAAGTGTTGTTGCTTTTTAAAAAAAGTTGACAATATGTCATAGTCATTTTTCCATAGATATATACACAACTGGATATGCTTCATTGTGATAGCTACATAGTCTAGGCTAGACTCTCCTATACTACCACATAGGGCTTCACATTTCTGTAACTGACACAAATATGTGTGAATAATTTTGTGAGCATAGAGTTCTGAAGAATACTTAGACTATTCATGCATGCAGTTCCTGAAGTTGGATCACTGTTTTCTAAAGTAAACATTTTATAACTATTTTTATGTCCACACATTTTATTGGTTTTATTTTTCATTTAAAAGAAAGTCAAAAATATTAATTTAGCATTGAAAAAACTTAAACAATGCACAGAAGTACCTAAAGTAAAAAGAAAAAATCCTTTCTGTTTTACTCCCTAGGGGTAACCACATTTAGCACTTGAGTGTTTTTCTTTTCAGACCGTTGTTTTCGTTTGTGTCTTTGCTCCTACAATTATATAGTAATTTGAATATGTATTTATATGAACATAGAAACATAGAACATATGGGTTTTTCCGCTCAAAATACAAGACTTTTAACACACTGCTTTGCAACTTGCTTTATAAAAATTTGACAATACTGTATGTCATAATCATTTTTCCATATATATACCCAAATGGATATATTTCATTGTGAAGGCTACATAGTATACACAGTATGGATGTAATTTATTTCAGCATCTTACTTTTGACAGATATTTCAGTTATCTCTGATTTTTACTAATATAAATGTAATGACACAGTTTTTGCCAATGTGATGGGCAAATGACGGCATCTCATTTTGTTTAATTTAAATTTCCCTTCTTAACCACTGAGATGGAACATCTTTGCCTATGTTTATTCGCCATTTTAATTTCCTCTCCTGGGAATTATCTGTTTATATCCTGAGTTACTTACTGAGCTGTGGACATGAAAATAAGGTAACCAGAAAATATATGTGTGTAGCTATGTACTAAGGGATGTTTCAAAACCTCACTCCTGGCTTGGAGTGTATGTTCTTGTTCCTTCCTAGCATGTAAGCTTCCTCTTATTGTGGCTTATAGATCACCAGATCAGCAACATTTGTTCTTTGTTCAGAACAACTAGCTAGGGCAATGTGTAATTTACAAATAAATGCAGAGGTTACAATCTAATGATGCAAAGAGAAGTAATATAAAACACACGTGGAGCAAATCTAACAAAAGATAATGAAAATCACTTTCCTTTGAGCAGTGCTTTGCAATGTTAAAGAAGATGTGTATATAAATAGCTAAAATATTAGGCAAAATGTAATTGCAATAACATTGTAATAGGGATTCCAGGGGAAACAGAAATAAGTTGATTGTGGGGACTGGTATTGTGGAACCAGAAAGAGCTCCAAGGATGGTAGAGAGATAAAAGATGGGATGGAAAGTCTTCTTCGAAGTATAAGAAAAACAATGTGAAGAGAAAGGACAAAAGAAGGACCAGCTCCCATTAGATTGAGCACAATATTTAGAATGCCTGAAAGTGACACAGCAGTGGAGACTCCCCTATTAACCTTCTTTCTTCTGAGCACCATAGTTTTGTTAAGTCAATCTTAAGGTTATGCCATCATTTTTACCAGCCATATCTCACTAGTGGCTTATCCGGAGTTTGAGATGAACTGAAATCTTCTGGTGTTTCCACACAGACATTGTCTGTGACTACAGGAGGAATATGTTGTGTGTGAACCATTCTATCCCTGATTTTTAGTCACCATGACATCCATTAACTCATTGTGTCCTTTATTATCTATCTGTGATAGCATTCCAATGATAGTTATTGTCCTTCAGTATGCATTAGGGCTGTGCTAGGTATTAGGCAGACAAAGGTGAGCATGGCAGGTTTCCTTCCTTGTGGAACCTCAAGTAAGTGGAGTACTTACTTAGCTAGAACATCTGAGTACCCTAGTCTCAGAGGTAGCGTGCCCTGATTTGAATCTGTTTCAAGGCCTGATCTTCACTCTTATTAATAAGTGTTAGCCTGCAAAGGTTCTCTACCACTTGTATGAGTCTGGCAAGAGAGAACACTCATACAACCAAATTAGGCAAACAGATGTATTACTCACAGATAAGTATCAAGAATAAACCAAAGCCTAGGATCCATGACAAGCTGGTCCTCCGGAGCTTAGGAAAGCTGCCCAGGGTGGGTGGAGTCTCGTCTGCACAGACCCCATGTCACACTACAGCTAAGGACACTGAAAGCACTCCACCCTGGGCTTTCATATCCTGGGTGCCACAGGGTTTGCTGAGCTCAAGTGCTGCAGAACATAGCCTGCAACGCTTATCTCCAGATGTCATATTCTCACTGCATTCTGTAAGAAATCTAGGTGGGTCAAGATCATCCAGAGGCATGCCCTCCTGCGTAGCCTTGTTGGAAGGGACCAACATGTGGCTTGCTGGTGCCTGAGACACAAGAGACTGGTGAGATGAGCTAAGTATGGGAGGTGATAATTTGCATTCTCATTCAGGGAAGCCTTGGTTTTTATTTATATTATATTTTATTGTACCTATTCACAGAAGATCAGTATGCCTTAGCAGATGGAGGAAGTTTTTTACTTAGACTTAAAACATTTTTTTTCCTTGCTGAACCTGTTAGTTCACATGGCCCTCTGGCATATTAGAAAGGTAGAGTGGCTCTAATAATGGTGGCATTATAATAGACTAACTGGACATCTGTTACTTCTTTCAGGGTTCATGCTGTTCAGATTACTTTGTTTTGTATTGCCTTGTTTTATTGCTTGTTGTACATTATAAATGTTACAATAACTGACCTAGGGTGAGAACAATTTTCAACTTGCTGGATTTCTATATAAATAATACAATCTATATATCTCCCATATCAGTTTGCTCAGATAGTGTATAAAATGCCAACAAAATGTCTGACTTGAGGATTAAGGAAGCCGTGTAGTTTGGTTGATAGACACTTGATAAGTGTTGGAAGATGAGGCTTCTGATCTCATTTCTGCCACTTCTAATTGTGGAGCACAAACCACACATTTATTTCCTCTTATGGAAGGTAACATAGGGTTCAATTGACAAGGGTGTCCTTAGTGTCCATCCAGCTGCCAAAAACAACAGCAAACCCGGAACCAAACCAAGAGACACAAGTGTATGCTGACCCCAGAGATGCATGGCTGCATATCTTCCTAGTTAAACATTTGCTGTGCCACCTGACAGCCTGACCTTCAATCTGTCCTTTCCTCTATCTATAAACCAAAGCCCCTTAGCTTCTTGGAACTTCCATTTCTTCAACTGTAATATAAGGATAATAATAGTACTGTTACTGGAAAGGGGTACCGATCAAGACTCCAGAGAGGGTTCCTGGATCTCACACAAGAAAGAATTCGAGGCAAATCCATATGGTAAAGTGAAAGCAAGTTTATTAAGGAAGTAAAGAAATAGCAAGAAGGCTCTGTGGTGCAATGGATAGTGCCTTGGACTTCTAGCCCAAATCCAAAGAGATTCAAAGAAAATAAAGGAATAGAGAATGGCTACTCCATAGACAGAACAGCCCCAAAGGCTGCTAGTTGCCCATTTTTTATGGTTATTTCTTGATTATATGCTAAGCAAAGGGCGGATCATTCATGCCTTCCCTTTTTAGACCATATAAGGTAACTTCCTGACATGGCCATGGCATTTGTAAAGTGCCATGGTGCTGGTGGGAGTATAGCAGTGAGAACGACTAGAGGTCACTCTCGTCGCCATCTTGGTTTTGGTGGGATTTAACAGGGTTCTTTTCTGCAAACTGTTTTATCAGCAAGGTCTTTATGACCTATATTTTGTGCTGACCTCCTGTCTCATCCTGTGACTAAGAATGCCTTAACTTACTGGGAATGTAGCCCAGTAGGTCTTAGCATTATTTTTTTAAGCCCCTATTTAAAATGGAATTACTCTGTGTGTGTGTGTGTGTGTGTGTGTGTGTGTGTGTGTGTGTCATTTTATGCCACAAAAAAGTTTTTCAGAATATATTTGTTATACATCCACTATTCCAAGAGTGAAATGATATCAAACAGATTGCACAAGCGCATAAAACAGAGAAAACCATTCTACAATATATACAGTGCTGTAAGTGGTTGCTATTTTTACAGTTTTCTTTTGAAAGTACAGGAAATCTCCCTGTAGATTTCCACAGGGACTCAAGAGTGTAACAATCCAATATATTTTATAGGTGGTATTTAACAGTTTACCAGTAATTACAAATCATTTTTCCCCACTTTTTTTCAAAAGTCTTGGATGATGAAGAATTATGACTTTCACCACCACTACAGTGTTCATATAAAGTTTTAGCAGCTTTCAAAATACAGTTAGGAGAATTCAGACCAACAAGCTGGCCAAGAACGTATTTCATTTCTTCAGTGGTTCCCTTGGCTATTTGTTAACCTGGATGAGTTTGAATTTGAACATATGGATGAGCCAGGAGCTCAGAAATGGATATCCTCTGTTTAGGGTCCCTTATTAAACAACACTTTAACACATCTTGAAGATCTATCTCTGGAGTATCAGGAAATTCAATTTCTTGATTAGGATCAATTATGACATGCAATTTAGAAATCTGATTAATTATATGCTGAAATGGTGTCTTCCCATAGGTCATATAGTACAAAATACATCCTAAGGACCAAACATCACTTTTGGGTCTTATCTTTGACTTAGATTTCCCATTCTCTCTGAAAAAAGACATATCTTTGATTGCTTCTGGTGGCATATAATTAGCTGTGCCAACCTGAGAATCTTTAATAATACTTGTTGCATTTGGTTTGTGATCCCAAAATCAATTAGCTTTAACATTCCATCCACTACCAGAAAGTTATCTGGTTTAAGATCACTATGAACAATGCCATGTTGATGGATTGTGTGAACTGCCTCTAACATATTTTTCCAGTAACTCTTGCGTTCCCATGGGTCAATGGATTTTTTCTTTTTAAGCCAACTATTAAGATCATTATTTCCGCACTCCATTACCATGTAGATGTACTGGTTTGTGATTTCATAATCATAAAGCCAGATGATCTTATCACTGTGTTGTTGTAGTTTATTCAAATAAGCTATTTTGTTCTGGTAACTATCAAGAGTTTGGTTATCTGCTTCTTCTAAGTTCACATATTTTATAGCATATATCTGTTTTTTTGTTTGTTTGTTTGTTTTATGTTAGTGCTGACTGTGTTGTAATTGGACTGCTGGGGAGTACTGCTGGGGACGTAGCCTCGTGGGGACACGCTGCTTGTGTTGCGACTGTAGCCGACTTGGTCATTGGCTTGTGATGTCTCCGACACGTTAACGGCTAGCTGGCTGCTGAAGGAGTTGACGCCCATCATGCCCGTGTGCGCAGGGGTGTTGCCCAGGGTGGGTATCTGGTTGTGATTGCGGGGAACGCTGTACAGCGCCTCGGCGATGTCCGCTGCTCGCTTCAAGATGATCTCCTGGTTGTTGTGAGGCATTCTGTATAAGGCTTCTACCAGGTCCGCCGCCCTCTTCAGTAACACCTCCTTGGGTAACCTTTCAGGATCACCCGGATGTCTTGGGATCACGTTCTGCAACCTCTGATAGCCGTAATCTATGTTTGGTTCATTAAGGGCGGTGTAGACAAAGCGCCCAGGAGCCCCTTTGCAGAACTGCTTGGATTTGTAGGAGAGGGTCACTTCAATTACGCCAGGAATGTGCCTCGGCGAGATCTGGACTCGGATGGCATGGGGAGTTGTCAGCTCGCTCCACACCAACATAGTGCCGAACACAACTTGCAGCCCGTCAAAGAAGTTGTCGCCATTTCTGATGACAGTGGCATCCCCCGTGGTCCAGCCTTCACTGGGACTGATGGCCTTGATGCACGGAGTGGCTTCTGACGAGTCTAGGCGGCGGGCCTGCCTCCCGTGTTTGGAATCATTGTGCACAAACATGTTGTCTGACATGACCAACACGTGGCCATCCACGTTGACTGTTGTCGATACAACAACCTGGAATCTCCACATATCTCGAGGGTTGCTGGCATTCTTCAAACAGTTCTGATTGCACTTGAGGAAAAACTTTAGAAAGAATCTGTCCATGATTACAGGGTCTGAGGGCATTTCGTTTCTATTGCCACGACTTTTCTTGTCACAGCACCGGCTGCACATGATCTTGTGGGTCAGCAGCACACGGCACATCTCGGGGTTCCTGTCCTGGCCCTCGTATACGATGGCCTGTTTGGTCATTGAATCTATGAGGCGAACATACAGATCTTGCTCTGTCCTGACTCCGTTGCTGTACAATAACTGAAGTTTATAGTGGATGCCGTTATTGGTTTTCTCGTTGTTTGGCTCTTTCTCTTTCTCCACAAAGAGGACATCTGTGGATGCGCCTGCCCTGTAGCCACCAGCCCCTTGCTGCTCTCCCTTTAATGCCAAATGGCCCCTGCCTAGGGCACAGGCCCCAACCTGTGTGCTGGGGTCCCCAGCAGCAAACACTGGAAAGACTTTTTTTTTCTTTTCTTCTTTCCCACCCCTTAATTTTAACTTTGTGGTAACTGAGTGTCCCTGCGTGCCTGCTTGTGAGTGTGCGAGCGGCAGTGCCGTTCCGGAGGCCTGGTTCATCTGGAGTTTTGAGGGGTGAGGGGACCAGAGCAGTGGGACCAGCGTGGGGGTCAGCTTCTCTTCCCCACCTGGAGCCAGGGGCTGCCCAAGTAACCAGCTGTGATCCTGCCCTCTGCCTCCCTGATCCCTCCCCACTGTCGCCTCTTTATGAACTTCAATTGAAAACCACTTCCCTCCATCTTCTCCTGCTCCTGTGTGGAGGGGGAACGTGTGCTGGCCAGGGCAGAGGACTGAGCACCTGAGCCTGGGGCTGGCTCCCCGGGGTCCCTGACTCAGCTGGTGGCTGTGGAGCTGAGTCCTCTCCCCATAACCCTTGCGAGGCCAGCACCCATCATCACTACCTGCACCTGTTGTGGTCCCACCCTCTGGAGGCCTGGGAACCTGGCTGCGCAGCCTGGGAAGGCTGGAGAGGCAGATGGTGGCACCCACCAGCTCTCTCCCCATCCGGCCTCTTCCCTGGGGGCCAGGCCTTACCCGTGTGGTGGTGGGTGGGCTGATTGTCAAGACGTGTCATGTACATTTGTATCAAAAATAAGTGACCACGAGGGTTGCCTCGTGGTCAGAACAAATTTAGAGACAAAAATGTAATGTGATGTATGGAAATTGGAAGTGAGCTACAGAAACAGCTGGATTGGTTACAGCTCAGCATTTGCCATATTTGAACACTCAGCAGTATATGACTCGTTGAAGTATGGCTGCTGGGATTGGCCAAGACTCAGTGATTGTTACAGGTACATACTCCTAAGTTAGGTTTTCAATCTTGCCTACCTATTAAGTTAGGTATTGAGTTCACCCTACCTATTGAGTTCATCCACAAGGACTCAAATATAAAAGTATAGAGTCCTTCCTGGCAGGGTGTAGTGGCTCACGCCTGTAATCCCAGCACTTTGGGAGGCCAAGGCAGGCAAACCACCTGAGGTTGGGAGTTTAAGACCAGCCTGACCAACATGGAGAAACCTCATCTCTACTAAAAATACAAAATTAGCCAGATGTGGTGGCACATGCCTGGAATCCCAGCACTTTGGTAGGCCAAGGAGGGTGGACCACCTGAGGTTGGGAGTTTGAGACCAGCCTGACCAACTTGGAGAAACCCCATCTCTACTAAAAATACAAAATTAGCCAGGCATGGTGGCACATGCCTGTAATCCCAGCTACTCAGGATGCTGAGACAGGAGAATCTTGAACCTGGGAGGCAGAAGTTGTGGTGAGTTGAGATCAGGCCTTTGCACTCCAGCCTGAGCAATAAGAGTGAAACTCTGTCTCAAAAAAAAAAAAAATGTGTGGAGTCCTTCTCAGGCCATATTTAGTTTGCTTTAACACACTAAATAAAGAAAACATTTTTGAAATGCAAACAGCAAAATTCCAAATGAACAGTAAATAAAACTACCAGTCAGCAAGCCATTTTTCTTGGCCTACTCACAGTGAAAATGCATAAAAGTATTGGATAAAGTATAATACAAAATGACATTTAATAGGGAAGACTTCAATAGATTGATGAGGAAGTTAGGATTTTTCAGAGGCTAAAATGTAAGTGAAAGCAGAAACATAAAAAGGTCAAAGAAGAAGTTGACTTGTACCATGGAGACATTTGCCAAAGCAAACTCTGGTTTTCGTCCTTGAGAAGCCCAAATGACCTGGAGCCAAGGCTTGTTACAGTAGGTAGCCAGGCAGACATGAGCAGGACAGGAGAGTCCCCCGCTCCTTCACCAGAAATGTCTGGTAACCATCAGGTGATGATCAGACAGCTGTTAAACTGCCTCTCTAAAATTAACAATTTGTTGCAGCCAACGCCAGGGAAAGGCAATCTCCCAATAGATAGAGACTTCTGAAACTGGTGATCAGCAGCTTCCCAGTGGAGTTGGGCGAATGGGTTCATGCATGCTTACTTAGCAGCAAAATGGCAGAGTTCAAGTGGCATAAGACCTTCTAGAAACACTCAACTGGTTAGGGAAGTACGCCTCAAGTGAGCATGCATGCAACTCCAATAAACACTCCAATAAACGGCTGCTCTCAAGTGCTGGCAGGTCACTGTGCATGCAGATGCCAGTGTATAAGACCCCAAGTCGAAGGTCAAACTACACACTTGATCTCTCGAGTTACCTGCTTGGCCCTCTTCCGAGTATGCTTTACTTCTTTTTGTTCCTGCTCTAAAGCTTTTTAATAAACTTTCACTCCTGCTTTAAAACCTGCCTCAATCTATCCATCTGCCTTATGCCCCTTGGTCAAATTCTTTGTTCTGGGGAGGCAAGAATTGAGGTTGCTGCAGACCCAAACGGATTCAGATTCACTGCGGCTAACAGACTCACCTAAGTTAAGGGTGGAATAGCAGACCCTTGTCAAGACCTGAAGACAAAAGGTGGAAGTGTTGATGTCTTCTTGGATTTCTTCCTTTTTTTTTTTCTCTTTAAG